GTCCATGGGGCACACTCTGCACATTTTTGCTTTCAGTGGTGAAGGTTGTTGTCCCTCCCCTCCTTCCTTCCTTCCTCTTGTATTGATCTTGTTGTTGTCGTTGTGTGCCTTCAAGCCATTTCCAACTTATGGCGACCCTAAGGCAAACCTATCATGGGGTGCTCTGGGGCTGAGATTGTGTGACTTGCCCAAGGTCATCCAGTGGGTTTCTATGACTAAGTGGGGAAATGAACTCTGGTCTCCAGAGTCATACTCCAAGGCTCAAACCACTACACCATGCTGGCTCCTTATTGACCTACTTTTAAGCAATTCCTTCTATATTTCTAATTTCATGCCTTATCCTTTTCATTCTTGTGGTTAGTCTGCCTGGAGCACGATTTCTAGTAGAGAGATGATATTTAACTTTCATAAATATCTAAATAAAACAGCAGCAGACTGTATTTTCAAGAACTAAATATTGAAAGATGGACATGCAACGAATCAACTGGATTTGTGTGGGAGATATTAATGCATCATAGAAACAGAGCAACTAATAATATCCTGGAATGGATGGATGGATGATTTGGGAGAGAAAAAGGCAGAGACAGAAAAAGAGAGAGATTAATGATAGATAGAATTAATTGATAGAGTTGGAAGAGACTCCAAGGCTCATCCAGTCCAACCCCATTTGGCCATGCAGGAATACACAAAGCACTTCCTATGACAGATTGCCATCCAGTATGTGTTTTAAAGCCTCCAAAGAAGGAAACCTCAAGGGTCATCCAGTCCAACCCCATTGGCCATGCAAGAATAGACAATCAAAGAGTTCTTGTGACAGATAGCCACCCAGCATCTGAATCATAGAAGCATCGAATCATAGAGTTAGAAGAGACCACAAAGACTATCCAGTCCAACCCCCCTTCTGCCATGCAGGAACTCTCAATCAAAGCATCCCTGACAGATGGCCATCCAGCCTCTGTTTGAAAACTTCCAAAAAAGGAGACTCCACCACACTCCGAGGGAGCAGCGTCTTCCACTGTGGAACAGTTCTTTCCATCTTGAGGTTCTTCCTAATACTTAGGTGGAATCTCTTCCTGGAGCTTGCATCCATTGCTTCATTGTGTCCTATTCTCTGGAGCAGCAGAAAACAAGCTTGCTCCATTCTCAGTAGGAGATCCCTTCAAATACTTAAAGAGGGCTATCCTATCACCTCTTAACCGTCTCTTCTCCTGGCTAAACATACCCAGGTCTCTAAGTTGCTTCTCAAAGGGCTAGGTGGTTTCCAGAACTTTCACCATTTCGGTCTCCCTCCTACTCCAGTTTATAAATGAATAATAAAAGCAACAATGAAAAGAGCAACCACTGCCTCAATCCAATATTACCTGTTACTCAATTTAACTTTACATATATGTAGCTAAGTTGGAGAGGTGTGCAGAAACCATGTTGGTGAATTGTGAAGATCCGTATCAGGCCAAACGCAAGCGCGCCTCATGTGCATTGGTGTCTGATGTGTGTTGACCCCCATGCGCAATGATCACTTTGTTGGCTCTCCTACATAGTAATGTAACAGCAGCCCCTTACTCAACATGAGCATTACGAAACATGGTTGTTGTTGTTGTTTCCAACTTATGGAGACCCATATGAGATGGAAAAAGTGGTCTTGGGGTACAGCATGCACTCCGTGGGGCATATTCTGCCCATTTGTGCAACTCTAAGGTGAACTTATTTCTTGGCAAGATTTGTTCAGAGGAGGTTTGCCATTGCCTTCCCCTGAGGCCGAGAGAGTGTGACTTGCCCAAGGTCACCCAGTGGTTTTCATGTCTGAGCAGGGAACTGAACCCTAGTCTCCAGACTTGTAGTCCAACGCTCAAACCACTATGCCACACATCTAATCCCTGCATATGTAAATCTACTTACAAAGAGGAAATTTCTTTCTTTCCTACAATAATACCATAAATAAACCATAAATGTGTTTAAATTGTCTCTGATGAATATATCAAGTATCTGCTCCATCATAGAGTTGGAAGAGACCACAAGGGCCATCCAGTCCAAGCCCCTAGGAGCATTGAGCAAGCAAAATAAAAGGGTCTTAGCACCTTGGAGTGATCTTTTTTAAAAATTTGGAATAAAACCCGGTGCGGATTCACCATCTCTATGATACGGAAGGCTCCAGATGCCCCCAGATTGTAGACTTTTGGAGTTGTCCGGTGAAACGAAGGATGGGAAGGATGGTGAAGGATGTATGCGCTGCTTCTTTGCAGCATATAATTTATTTATTCCGTTCCCTTAGTGATTTCAGTGGAATGTTTTATTGTTTTATCATTGCTTCATTACTCGATTTTATTGTGCTCCCTGGGTTTTAATACTGCAGTAATGTAAACCACCTGGGGGTTTTGAGACTGAAAGGAGTGCAGAAATGCCTTATAAATAAATACATCTGACATGGAACAGGCTGCTGGAAGGTGCTGGTCATCATTAACTCAGAAAGCTTGAAAAATTCATGGAGGCATAGCGGAGAAAAATCGTGGAGGAGAATATGATACATGGCAGCTAATCAGGGAAGGTGTATAGAAATCCTATCTTTGGATATGCCATTTTGGGTTGAAATGCCCAGCATCTGGCCACTGTGGGAGACTCATTGCTGGACTATTTGAACCTTTGTTCTGAACCAACATTGTGTTTCTTTGGGTGCATCTGCTGTTGTTTTTTTGTTGCTGTGTGCCATCAAGTTATTTCCGACTTACAGTGACTCTAAAGTGACCCTATCATGGGGTTCTCTTGCCGTGATTTGCTTACAGGAGGTTTGCCATTGCTTTCCCCCGAGGCTGAGAGAGTGTGACTTGCCCAAGGTCACCCACTGGGTTTCATGGCCAAGCTGGGATTCGAACCCTGCTCTCCAGAGTCCTAGTCCAACTCTCAAACCACTGTGCCACGCTGGCTTGAGATAATGATATCTCATTATGTATATGCAAAGGGGACTGCAATCCAAAACCCTTCTGGCTGCAAGCATTTCGGATAAGGGAGACTTGACTTGCTTAACAAGTTTTGAGAAGTTCCATCTCAGGTTATTTTT